ATTAATTTCTTCTGCAACAGAGTGAAGGTGAGATCACCAAGACTGAAGACCTAAGCCAGCTTTTAAATTATAAATTCTAATTAAACACAAAATGACTACATTAGTACATGAATGACTTATTTGTGCCCCTAAACAGACACAGGCATATAGTTGTGCAAACTATTCCTTTTATAGTTGAGACTGAGATCACTCTGTTGTAGGTAAAAAACAGTAAAGCTAGATAAAAGCAGGTGGTTGTTTTTTTCCAGGAAAAGAAGTATCCAGTTTTAAATACTAGCAGACAAGCCTAAAGAAGTTATTTGAAGCTTCCGAGTGCCATGAAGCAGACAGATGGGGTTCTCCACATTTTTTTGTATTACAGTAACTGTTAGCCATCCTCTCTTGATAGTAAACTTAAAAGCGCACAGTAAACCTTTAATGCTGTTGGAGAGGTAACAAACCCAGCCCCCTTTCTCGGCAACCTTGTCACATAATCTGAATTTTAGTAACAAACCTCATTATCTGGCATGTTAACTCTCTGCAGCATCTGTCACTGCTATGAATGGTTGATCATAAGTACCTCTGTAGTCATCTCAATGCTATTAAGCAGATGGCAGCGCTAAATCCGAATGATGTAGTACATCTCCCTGGTGGACTTTGTTTCCATACACTACCATTATTCTACAATTCCTCAGTGATAAATCTTATGTATTCTAGAGAACATTAAACAGTGAACTGACAGTGCCAGTTGATTTATTAGCATCCATTTCCCTTTGCCCTATTATTGTCTTCGCAAACACTTGTGCAGATCATGTATGGAGCCACTAAGGGACAAAAGCGCTTTTGCTCAATTTGAAACATATTTCAGAGATTTAAAGTAAATAGAATTTTTCTTCATGCTGAAAAATGTTTAAACTGCTGTACAAATTTAAATGAAGACCCAACTAAATGCTCCTGCTTCCTCCACAATATTCTTTTGAGTTTTCATAATAAAATTATGCATTATTGCATAATATAATGCAAATCTAGCATTAACGTCAGGCCATTAAAACACCCACTACTTTCTGCAATAAATCCACGTAATGGGTTACAGTTCTGAACAGATTTGGGGAAGTCCTTTAAGAGTCAGCTAGGCTGTGTAAGTAAGCATGCATATGTGCTGGTGAGGGGAGCTGACAAATCTACATGCATCTGACATAAGAAAATACCAGCACCAGCCGTCACATGAGCACGGTGTTTCACACTTGTAAACTCACATTCTACCATAAGGTCCCAAAAAGGTTTCTGGCATACAACTGCACACGTTAAAGTACTACATACGTATATAGAGAAATTACATGAAGGAATTACTGACTGCATAACATGAAATCTGCCCTGCATGACAGAGTAACATTCAGCCTCGTCTTGCTGCTCTCCTTAGCTAGGCATTGAGTATCAACCATAAATGATCATAGCTTTTGACAGTGTTCATTATGCTCTATTAAGGTAAAACTGTCTCAGCTGCTTTAAGTATTTATTAGTCTGAGTTTCAGAAACCGAGAAATATTTTGTCAAATTAATTTTAGATTACTTTGGTTTTTCATAAAATACTGAACAGCCCAGTTGATTAACGATCCCAGTTTATACTGGTAAAAATATCATCTAACAATTCTCTGCAAGAACTACCTGTGTAATTTAGTCACATCTCTTCTAAAAATCAGTTAAGATATCTAGTCAAGCTCAGTACAGCTCCAAGGGATATTTAAGTCTTTTTGACCATAAAAATAATTCTGTTAAAAGAAGTCCTGAAGCACTATTTGGGGCTTTGTTGCATGAACAAACAACTCTGGATAAGAAAATGTTTTAAAGAAAACCTATTTTTTATAGGATTACAGGGCATTAAGAGAGATGAGAACTTTGAGAAAACTCTGATGTTTCTCTCCCTATCAGTGCTGTGACAGGTTTTAACTAAAGCTTCAGATTGCCAAGCACAAGCAAGGATACGGTCTCACACAATGTCAAATAAAATGCCGTTCAACTTTTAAACACACATGATCTGGTAGCAGCAAGCAGTTCAGTCGTAGAAAGGAAGAATTGTTTGCAGAGGCATGCAAAGTCTCAACTACCTCCATGCACACAGAAATATACAGTACGCTATTCTTCATATCTGAACATATCACCCATCCTAGTCCATCTCAGATTTGGCCATTTCTGGGAAATACACTAGAAACATTAAAATTCAAAACAATAAAGGAGAGTCATGCTGTGTTGTACTGAATCATCAAATTTGGAGAATTTCCATCTTTAACAGAGGAATCACTAAAATATGCAAAAACTTTAAAAACAAAACAAGTGTTTCAACTGTCTCCACTGTATCACACATGTACATTGTACACACAGTGTACACTTGTGAACATTAACCAGGTTTGAGGTGCAGGAAGAGGCTTCATATACTGAAAAACTACGGCAAATAATTTAATGAGCAAACCCATCTTTTCAGTTTACTAGCTATTTCTCAAATTTCCTCTTTAATACACAATATCATTAATATCACAATCTTCTAGAGAAATTAATATCAGAAGACATACTAGAAATGCTATTACTTTTTAAGATTACTACTTTCAACTTACAAAAGGAAATAAGTTATTTACACATGCTAGTCACTAAATGATGCATTTTCAACATGTGAATGCCCTCTATGTGCAAATGTATTTTCTTTCCATGCTGTATGAGAGCAAAATATCAAGAATTATATGAGGCTAAGCTATGAAAACAATACACTTTTCACTAATTTCCTTCACAGTAAGGACATTGTAATGCACCTAAATATGATAAGTATCTCTTAGTGGTTACAAAATGACATTTTGCAATATGGGCTACTATTTGATATTCAGATTGAAGATAGGAATGCTGTTCTAGGTAACTCAGATGGCTGTTTATAGTTATTACTTTTTGCCTGCCAATACAATCCTAAAAGTATTTTTGCCAGGCCAGAAAATATGCCAGAAAATGAGTGTCGATACCCCGTGAGAAACGTACAAGTGAATCATCTCTTGTTTTCTTTTACCATGCAGCACTTAATAAAATTGGGAGGGGGGGCAGGGGTGAAATGAAGTAATCATTCAGAAGATAATGAAATAAAAAAATCTAACGGTATATGTATTGTGAAACTACAGGTAAAATACAAAGCAGAGCAATCATTTTATGAAGTACCTCCTTCCAAACTGGGCTAAACATGTGCACATATATCTAAGATTATTATATGTACTCTTATGTATTAGTCCTTTAAAAGAACAATTTCATTTCTTGGGAGATTTGCTCTTTGCTAATTTTAGTTCAAAGGAAAAAATCTTAGTGAAAACGTTCTTAACATGGAAAAAATCAAATCCAAGTAATGTTTAGTTTTGGCTCAGGCAAATGACTTTGTAATGAAGTCCAAATGTTTGTGTGCAGTAAACCCATTTACCAACACTAGAAGCAGTAAAAGAGAACAGAATTACCAACATAAAAGTTGAGGCCTATTTTGGTAATTTTCTTTTTGTGAAAAATCCATTACCAGCAGCTGCTCTCTAAATGTAACATCCTCCAGAGCCTCATATTTTGAAGGTCCTACACTGCTGGTTTCTTAAGTCATATTATTTATATCAACTTTCAGTAGCTTACAAGACTCTGTAGGAGCCAAGTATCAGACACAAAGGTATTTTCAATCTGTTAGTTCTCAACAACACCACCACTTGGACTTTCCACTAAGCTTTTTCACATTGACTAAGTTGCTGGGCACAGGAAAATATTCATTTATACAAGAAAATTTAAGTTGGGTGTGTCAAGACTACAGCAAAGCAGATGTCAGGTGTAAACAGCTTTGTTCTCAACTTTGCTGTGAACAGTTCTGTACTATTTCAGATAAGGCTACATTGTAAAAAAGTCTTAAATATTTAGCAGAAGGTAAAACAGTCTAATCAATATCTGTTTATCAACATCACAATATCCACCCATATCTCCCCTTCCTACTGCCTTCATCTTCCCAGAGGGCAAGGTTTGAAGCTCTAGTTACCCCAAATAACCAAAGCAGTAATGCAGAACTAGAGCATTAGATTTTATTTTACCATTTTCTCAACATTGTTTCAACCATTTGAAGTTTATTGCCATGAAAGTTTCACAAAATTCTCAATGACATTACAAAATCTACTACTGATCAAACTGTGAATGCTTGGTCTAAGATAAAGAGCGAGAGTAAGTTACAACTCAGTAAAAAGTGCACAGAAGGTCCCTTTCCAGATGTGCACATTAGCAGTACCTAATAATGAGGACAATAAGCCAAGCTGCTAAATAATGTGTCATGTGATATTTGCCAATAAGTTCAAACTACCACCTAACAAAAGTAGCTTGTATTTCATAGCATTTTTCCCATCATTGGGACACATTAGTATTCCTTATAATTCATGGAGTTTTCAAACAGCGACTCCTTTTAAGAAAGCAAAATTTTAAGAAAATAAATCAGAAGTGGTTAAAAATACTGTTGAGAATGAAGTGGGGGAAGGAACACAAATGGCAAGGTATTCAAATTTGTCACAAAGACAATTCCACAAAGGATTAAAACAAACTAAAGAGTGTACTTTTATTTGGCTGTAAAAAAAAGTGAAACACTGGAATATAATCATGTTTAAGTAGTAAGAAAATGCAATCAGCTCTGTTTCAGATGATTTAATACCTTTTATAAAGTTGGGTTTTTTTTCTCCTCTCCCTCCCAAAATGAATCTGAATTAAATTTTCCTGAGTTTCCTGAACTTTTGAAGACTTTCTGATTTATGATTTGGTATCACTAAAACTCTTTGTTTTAAGTTCTCATTTCTGTTTCTTTTCAACCACTCAGTAACTTGACTTCTATACTTATACGATACTAGAGACAAATAACACTGGGGGTTATTTCTAATAAGCCTCAACATTTTTGCTGTTTAAGATGAAATTGAAAAAGTTAAGTAAAACTAACTTTCCAACTGTAGAATATTTCTGGTGTAGTTACAGCAGATCTGAAGACTTACCTTTGTGCTTGAGTGCTATAGCTGTTATCATAGGAATCATAGCTTTGTTCATCATAAGCAGTTCCATAACCGTCATCATACTCCTGAAATGATATAAGAGAAAGGTAGTATTAATCATAAGCACACTTCAGAAAAAGTAGTAACCTAGTTCTAAGTATGAAAGACAATACTCTCCTGACGTGTACATATGACATACATACATCATGAAATGGCAAAATCTTAATGATATTAAAGACTACTTCCATTTAGGAGGCCACACACATCTAAAACTAATTACTTTAAAGGCATTTTGAACTATTGGCAATGTGCTTCAAAAAGATTTTAGTTAACACTGGCTTGTGCAGAGACAGTACAAATGCTTCATGTCTCCATGTACTTGAATTTGAGATGAGCGAGCTGCTGATCTTCAAGAAAGCTCTGAGAAGCATTTCACGAATCAAAACATGTCAATAAATAGTGTGCAACTGACTTAGGTAGCTGACTTATTTCTGGACAATAAATTCAATATTCTACGTAGACTACGGATGGGAAAGACATTCCCTAGAGATAAGACTAGTAAGAATGTTGGTTTTACTTTTTTGAATGCCCTCTGTACACTCTTCAACTTGTGGGAGTTTAGCATCCATTAAGAAACAAAAAGTAAGGGTTTCTTACTCCTCCCACATTATCCACACTATTTA